TTTCTGAAGCTTGGAACGACCTGCTCAAACTTTCTCATCCCACTTAATTAATTAAAATTTTTAAAGGCACTCAAAGGGATCTGAAATAAGTCATTCCTCTCCAGATGTGTTGGAATTCAAATGTACTGAGATGAGAGGCTCTATGGAAAGAGAACTACAGTAAATTATTAACATCCATTAGTGTACTTCTGTACCATATTAGTTAATTGTTTCCCAGAAAGCAGCACCTAGAGTGAATGGGGGATAGGACGGGTCATGTCATAGGCTAGAAAAAAGTAGAGAAAAGGGTTTGGAGCAGGGAAGAGGCCTAAACAGAGGTCTGGGTAGCCAGGGTCATCACTGGAAAAAGACACCAAATATTTTACTGATTGAATTATCCTTGATCTTTGGTGCAACTATTTGCCTTCTAGCCTTTAATATCAACAGCAGTGGATATTAGCAAAGTCACCCAGGGAGTTTTTACAGGCCACTAAGTCTGAATTCATGGGGGTTCATCCAATAGAAGTGTTTTTAAAAGGGTCCCCAGTGCTTCTCTCATACAGTTTTGCTGAGAACTAAGAATCACTGCTCTACAGCTACCCATTCTCCAGCATTGAGCCAGGTGCTGCTGATGCAACCAGCAAACAGATCAAGAAGCACACCCTTCTCACTTGGCAACTTAGGACCTGAGAGTTAAAATGACAAATTACAGGCCAAAGGCCCGAATTGCCAAATGCTGGTTCTGCAGGCAAATCAAGGTCAAACAGAACCCTCATAAAGCAGTATTGGCAGGAACCCACAGAAACAGGCTGATGAAAATACCTTATCAGAAGTTTGCCTTAATTCACATAAACTTTTGGCTATTGGAACCATCAAGAATCACTTTTGTTTATACTTTTTTTTATGATTTTATTTATTCATGCATACAAGAGCTGGGGTGCAGGCCAGAGATGCGGGGGTGAGAGGATTCACCAGAGACAGAGTGGGGAACAGAACAGGCTAATTGACTGAAATACAATGCTGAGGGGAGCAGCGGGCAGGGCAGGAGAGGTCTGCTGTGCCATGTGGGCCTTTGGAACTTGTGCTGCAGTGGCTGCAGATTGCTTCATAGTGCTGTGTCTTAACCCCTTGCACCACCAGGGAGGCCCCATTTTGGTTTATACTTTTTATCTCCAGGTATGAAATGACAAACCCAGAAACTAGAAGTAAAGCCCAAGCCAAACAAACAAACAAACAAAAAAAACCCTAGTACTTTAAGGTACTTCATGCAGATACCTTAATATTTGCTTAAAAAAAATTTTTTTTTAAGATTTATTTATTTATTTATACAAGCACTGGGTACAGTCAGAAGCGCGGGAGGGCGAGAGAATTCACCAGAGCCAGAGTGGGAAATAGAACAGGCAGATTGTCGAAATACACTGCTGAGGGGAGCAGCGGGCACGGCAGGAGAGGTCTGTTGTGCCATGTGGGACCCTCACCAGTGGGGTGGCCGGGGATCGAACCGGCGCTGCAGAGCCTGCGGGCAGCTTCGCAGCCCAGCGCTCAACCGCTGCGCCACCAGGGGAGGCACCTAAATTTTTTTTTTTTTTAAAGATTTATTTATTTATTTATACAAGCACTGGGTACAGTCAGAAGCGCGGGAGGGTGAGAGAATTCACCGGAGTCAGAGCGGGGAGCAGAGCAGGCAGAAGGACCGAAGAACACTGCTGAGGGGAGCAGCGGGCGGCAGGAGAGGTCTGCGCGCCATGTGGGACCCTCCTCAGGTGGCCGGGGAGCAGCCGGGGATCGAACCGGCGCTGCAGAGGCTGCAGGCAGCTTCGCAACCCAGCGCTCAATCGCTGCGCCACCGGGGAGGCCCGGCACCTAAAATTTTTTTAAAGGCTCATATTCAGTAGTTTAAAGGCTGCTTATTTTTCACACAACCTAGTTCTAAGAAGCTACAAGAGGAATGCCCAGATGTCCATGTCACTACAATTCTGTAATCTCATATTCCTTATCTGAATTTCCCTCATTTCATTTATCAAATTTATTAATCTGTTTCAACATCAGATCTCTGCGGAACTCCACTGCTCAAGAGAACCAAGACAGCTTTCCGAACGCTTTCAAAATCACTCACTACTTGATATTATTGAATTGAATGTATCACTACAAAGTCATCTTGCAGTTGAGATTTCTTTTCCTGGCAGGGCACGTAGTTGGTAGGACTATTCATATTTATGAATATTAGACTCTTACACCCACAGATTCTTAATCCAAGAACATAAGGTGGATCCAGAAACTCCCAGGCACAACGTGGACACACTGATTAATTCCTACTGGTGCTTAATTTTCTGCAAGTAAAATAAAACTCACGCTGGATTTTCTAAAGTTGCTGTCCTTGAGTTTCCAGAATAAACATTCTTCTGATCTCTTTGGCCTGTGGAAGGCAGGTCTGTATACTGAACAGACTGGGGATGATGGGAGGAGTTGAGCTCCTCCAGTTTCCACCAAATGTTTAAAAGCAAAAGAAGGTGTCACTTTAAGAAAAGGAAAATCAAACCGCCAAGATTTATTTAACTTTTTCTTTCACAGAAAATACAGTATGTTTGTAATGTAAACACTGACATGAGATAAAGTACAAGGCTCAGGAAGACAAAGGAACTGGACAACACTCTTACTTCAACTATAATGCTTCCTGATTTCATGTGCATGAACCACATGCCCATAAAAACAGGGAAAATTAAAGGCAACATTCATTTAGATTTAAGAAACACCCAGAGGGCCACTGAAATCCATACGAGAATTCTGACCTTTCTGTTGCACAAAAATTAAAGCTGAGCACACGTCCATTTATCCATTTGCCCAAGGCATTTGATGTAGAAGTATAAAAATGAATTAACACATGAACTTTAATATGTCTGTGGAGGCAGAGATTAAATTGAGTCTCTTTTCCCCATTTCAGAGAAAATTAATTAACCAAATAAAAAGCAGAGCTGCATGACACTGGCTAGAAGACAGCACAATCACAGTCAATTCTTACTTCAATAAATCCCAGGAAATGCAAACCACAATAAAGAATTGCCCACTGGGGCTTAGCCCAAATGGTCGCTCCAGATCTAAAGGTGCAGAATCAATAAAGTTTTCAAGGTTCTTTCCCAGAACTCCAAACTACGGGGGAATGGCCCAAATAAATGCTTGGGATGAAGAACCACCTTGGTCTAAAACAAAGGGTCTGTTTCTGAACTTGAGTTCAGCAATAAAGAGTATGGTGTCTGGGCTCCAATTTTGTGATTCAAAGCAGTAATGACTTTATCAGATGGCACCTAACAGATGCCAGAAAACTTTGATAATGGATATCTATCACAGTCTGGTTCAGTAATGGGACTCTGTCCTACAACCTGGGGCTCAGACAAGGCTGCTGAAGATCTGATCAGCGAGCCCAGAAATTGCCAAGTACACCCACCACTCTCTCACTCAGATCTATAATCAAAGGCTATTACGAATAATCTTCATTGCTCGATACCCAAGAGTCTATCAGGAAATAAGGACCTCAGACACTTGAACCTTACAGTGAGCAGAGCAGTGACCCAGGCTGAACAGTGACTCTCTGGAAGAGAAAAGCCACTTTGACCAGGTGTTTTGAAACTCCTTTTCCCAGGAAAATGTAACTTCCCCGCACTGCTGAGGTGGAGGTTTTCAAATGTGTTTGTGTAGTATCACATGAAAAATACCTTCACAGACCATTTTTCACAATACCTAAATACACACACACACACACACACACACACACATCCCTATAGTATTTGGCACAGTGTTTTGCAATTGATTGTGCTCTCTAAAGGTATACGTGGAACAGAAAAAACCAAAATCAGGTTTTAAAAGGGATAGGAACTGCTATTTCCAAGGAATGTCTAGACCTAACACCTTTTTTTATGCTATAGTACAAGAAATTCTTGCTCAGAAGGCTTTTCCCTTTTTAATACTCAAGATGGTAAAACTAATTAGCATAGATAGGTAACAAAGATCAGAGTAGTGGATTTGATAGTCATCCACCATGGAGCTCTATTTCTGCACTCTCTTATTTCTGCAAAAAGCAGAGGGTATTTGCCATTGTGAGGGACATACACTATTGGACTTGCAGGGATGGCAAGATTTTTTTTTTTAAGATTTATTTAATTTATTTATGCATACAAGAGCTGGGCTGTAGGCTGAAGATGTAGGGGTGAGAGGATCCATCAGAGACAGAGTGGGGAAGAGAACAGGTAGATCTACTGAAATACACTGCTGAGGGGAGCAGTAGGTGAGACAGGAGAGGTCTGCTGTGCCATGTGGGTCAGCTCCCTGCCCAGGGATTGAACTTGTGCTGCAGTGGCTGACAGTAGCTTAATAGTGCTGAGACTTAACCTCTTGCGCCACCAGGGAGGCTCTATGGCAAGATTTTTTACTGAAAACTCTCCATCCTATCCTGTAGTCTGACCATGCATGCCTATATTCTCAGAAAACCAGAATCAAGTGCTGAGAATTAAATATCAGTGATCTTCAAAACAGCACGTGGGTTGCCAGTCTATTTCCTCTCCAGCTATCATGCTATACTGTCCAGAACTATTGCCTCTCCAGGGTTTCAGGTCCATCCCAGAATTCCTTTGGATGGGATCCCAAAATAAGAGTTTTTATATGGTAATTAGCCATTTCTTCCCTTATCTTGTCTTTTCTCCCTTCTTGGGATCAGTTTCTTTTGAAAAGTCCTTCTCTTTATAAAACGAAAGATGGAAAATAGAGCCATCCTATTTGCAGATACTGGACACAATTACACTTAGGGAAATAAGGCACCTATAATGTAACCCCAGGTTGACTCTAGGAATGGTACTGATTCTGGATCCTGTATGGCTATAAGGAAGTGTAACTTTCCAACATAAGCACTCTGTTCTTGCCATAGGCCAGGCTGCATCGCAGACACTGGTGTGACAATCTGACCAACAGAGGCTAAAAGCTTCAAATAACTCCAAGAAATACAGAAAAAGCGTCTTCCTTAAAATAAAAATTACATTACCAGCCAGGTGTCAGGCCAACCTCATCACTCTTTCAGGTACTGTTTTCAGAGTCGAGTGAGGAAGAAAGAGAGAATGCTAGAGGGGAGAGCAGCAACCTGGGTCCAGACCCACTGCTGATACCCACTGGCTGTGTGAGCTGGGACAAATCTCTTCACCTCTCTCCTTAGTCTCAGTGTCCTCATTTGTAAAATGGGGGGAAGCCCACCTCCCTTGTCTACTTCACATTGTGACTGTGAGGATCAGATGAGATCATGACAAAGTGTCTTGTAAACTATGAAATACTGTATGTAAAGGTGGAGAAATAGTATGTACTTTCTACATTTTAATTGGTCCTTATCACGACTTATTTGATCAGAAGCACTTCATGCAGGATATGCTTTGAATACAGAACTCAAAAATAGGTGCTATAAATATATATTGGGTTGTTTAAAAAACTGGGGGGGGGGATTTTTAATTTCCTCAGAAATGGCCTCTGAATTCATTGCTTAAAAATCTGATATTATCCAAACCTATCAATTGATAGAATGAATTTTCTCCAAATGTGTCCTTTACAGGTATAGTATGGTTTGTTATTACCTTTACATAGAGAAGTCTTGAACTCAAGAAATAGCATGCTAAAGCTTAAAAAAAAAAACCAACCCCATAGAGTTACATTTTGTTGTACAATACAATAAATAAAATGAAAATGAGACATCCTATATCATGGATTCAGTCACAATTCCTCAAATGGTTGCCTTTTTCCTGAGATAGCTCCAGGACAGGGTCCTAGTCTTGTGAAGTACTTTACTTTAGTGTAGCTTAGTCTTGTTGGAGGTGAAAAGAACATGTAGGTTGGCAATTAGGGTGTGTTCATTTTCAGCACTAGGATTTCAACAAGAAGGTCTGCTAGGAGCTGTCGAAGAGCTTTGGTGGAGAAGACCACATGGCCCAAGAGAGACTTGCTAATTCTCGGATGACAGGCCATAGTGTGGAGAACAGCTTAACACAGCCGTCCAGAAGGAGTTTCAATTCTTCCTGTAAGTTGGTTCTGCTCTTCTCTGCTCTAGTAAGTAATTGAACAGAAGAAAAACAATGAGATTTGGAGCAATATATCTACCAGACTTTAGGGTCGTTCTCTGCCTACCTGTGAAAAGTTGACATGCAGAATAGAAACACAGGCAAAGCTGAACATGACTGACTTGACCTGCCCAAAGCACCCAGATTCCAGTACTTGTGTCAGAAGGTCTTTATTACAAGCGTTACAAGTGATGACCTGGAAGGAGCCAGGTCCTTCGAATCACTAGTGAACGGGATGGTTGTCTTTTGGGGCCACAGGCGTGCTGCTAACCTCCACTTTTCTTCCTGAGTTGCTTTGCTTTCCGAGGTTTGAGGATGGTGTAGTTTGCGTACACTGTATATTGATCTGACAGGAAGGGCACGTAGAATGCCCGCAGCAGCTTTGAAGATCTGAAAAACAAAGGCAAAAAAAAACAAAACAAAAACCCCAAAATACAAATTGATACTTGAGAGCATTTGCCATTGGTATTAAAAGTGACTAAAGGAGGGCCTCCCTGGTATCACAGGGGTTAAAGTCTCAGCACTATCAAGCTATCACCAGCCACTGCAGCAGGATTCAATCCCCAGCCAGGGAGCTGACCCACATGGCACTGCAGACATCGCCTCTCTCGCCCACTGCTCCCCTCAGCAGTGTATTTCAGTATATCTTCCGGTTCTGCTCCCCACTCTGGTGATCCTTTCACAGCTCCCACACCTCTGGCCTACACCCCAGTTCTAAAATAAATAAATAAATAAATAATGATGAAAGGAAATAAACTGAGAACCATATTTTCCAAAAGTAGAACATTAAAATCTGTTATTACTAGGACATCATAAAAAAATTAAGACCAAGTACCTTGTTGCTCACACCAACAAGATGTGGTGTGGCTTCCCCAAGAAGCCACAGCATGTCCTTCAGAATAGCTCTAGGTCTTTGCTTTGCATTAGAATACGCCACAGAAAAGATCCAGTTCAAGGGATAGAATGCTATTATGGAAATGAATTCATAACACCCAAATGGTTTCTGTCTCTAAGAAACTACAGAGATGTTAAATGCTCAAATGACCCTGACTCCAGCTCTAAGTGTTCCTGGAGAGGTGAAGAAAACTGTTCCAGCAATGCCTAAGTCAAAGAGAGAGTCTGCACACAAGCTCATGTTGTGACACGACCCTGGCAGGTTATAAGATATCCTCTCATTACTGAAATACAAGAACAGCTGAAAGCCTGAATTCTCATGACCTTGCGAAGAATGTGAAAAACACACATTTATTGAACATGTACCATTGGGTAGGCACTGGGAAAAGTACTTACACTTTTAAATATATTTAATCCATCCAACAGTGGATGGGGGAAAGGTATTTTCCCTATTTTGTAGATGGAAAATTGAGACTTAAAGTTGATTCAGTAAGTGGGCTCAGGGTCACACATTAAGTGATAGAGCCCTCAATCAAATCCAGATTTCACCCCACAGTCTGCATTCTTAACCATTATGATTTATCCTGCACCCCAGGAACAGGCTAACAGGATTCATCACCTCTTAGAAAAAGCAGCAGTGATAGTTTCAAATTCCATATGAAGTATTACTTACTGATTGTGATTTCTGAGTTTGAAAATGAAAAATTGGCCCGGTTACTGCCATCCTAAATGAAGTAGCTGAAGGGTGTTCCACTGCCAGTCCTAAGCTTGTAAATGTCATGTCAACGTGGCATTTGTACTGGCAGCCTACCCCTAGGCTTGGCAGACTCCTGCAATGCCTGCACACAATGATATCGTGCTTGGCATACACACCTCTCAAAGATTCTTCCCAACTGGGACGCTGGCAGGGCTCTGTGATCATCAGAGATGCACTTCACTTCAATAGCCAACAGTTCAAGGCTTTGACAGAGAAAAGAGGTTGCAAGATAAAGTGGGGCTTCTGCAAACAAAATGAACATAAAGGAGAAAGCACCTACCTTAGTCAAAAAGAAGTTAAGCTAGCCTTTCTGTCCAAGCTGCACAGATAAGGGGAAGGTCTGGACAGAAAGACATAAATGTAGTAAAGAATAGCTAAAACTAATTAAGGATTGTTTCCATTCCAGCTCATTCCACAATAAAAGTTTCATTAATACAGTAGTAGTTATTTCTAGTCAGCTCAGTCCTTGGTATAACTTTAGGTCTACTGGATGCCAATTCTAGTTTTTTTCTTTCTTGGACAATTCCTTACTATTTGGGAGGCTGTTGTTTCTTAATTTCCTTTCCCCCACCCCAGAGTCTTGCAAAGAACAAAGAGAAATTATGCTTATTCTTAAAAATACAATAAAACTTATTGTATCGTGTAACTATGGTCCATTGCAATCATTTGTACGTGTAAGGTACTTAGTGGTCTTATTTTTTTCTGTATCTTGGCTTATTTACAACTACGTTTTAGAAAAAAAGACTAATAAGAAAAAAGGAAGAATAATTAAATCACTGAAAAGGATGATGCAAAAGTGAAATAAACCAACACTATTGCATTATCCTTTTTTCTTATTTCATCGTCCAAAGTATTGCATCATCTTTCAATAAGGTATAAAAGACTGGCAACATTATCTTTGGGTTCTGCTTTTAGTTTTCACTGAACACAATTGAGAATTCAGAGTGTTAAGTTTTTCTGTCCATAAAGGCAACGAGAAGAAAACTTGACACAGGAAGACATTTCACAACTAGATGTCTGAGATGAACGCAAAAAGACAAATAGCAGCACTCCACACTGCAATGAAGATGGTGAAACTGATCGCAAGCAAAATTTAGACTATGGATCTTTAGATGAAAAAAAATATGACAAGGATTTTCTCAAATTCAAGAATTGGCTAGTGAACAATGTATTTCAAGAACAAAAAGGAAATAAGGTATTTTCATCCAGTTAGTCATTCAACAGGAAGGACTTAATCATATGCAATGTTTTACAACAAGAACTTGGCCCATACTGTTATGCTAATGGGGCATATGATCATATTCTTTCATTTTTTTGTAAATCTGTATGCCAAATTTGATTTGGTAAAGTTCATAAGTGAATGAATATTGCAGGCAGGTTCGTATACAAAGGTGTTGGAAGGCCATAGTGATGAAAAAAATTTTTAAATTCAGTGGTTTGGGCATTCTCATTGCTTATGACCTTGCGAAGATCAATGTTTGACTTATGGACCAAAGAGATAACTGATCTCGTACAAATTTATGAGACAAAGAAGTTTTCAAAAAATTCTTCGAGTTTTGCATTTGATGAAGCAAGTGCAAGGAGAGCCAGCAGTAATGATAAACTAGAAGCTACCGGACATATTTATATCTGAAATCTGGACTCAGGCATGTGTGAATGTATACATCACATTCATGTGCTCAAAACCAGGAGAACCGAGTAAAAAATTGGGGTTGTGATATTCAAATGAGATTAAAATTTCAAATAAAGCAGTTTTTTACTATCCTTTTAGAACTTTTTGGTACGTTATTTATAAAATAACTAGAAAATACAAAGAACAAAAGGGTCTGTTAGAAAGAGACAATAGAAATGACTGCTGCAGACCACACAAGGAATTCTAAAAGATCATTTCAGAAAAACAATCTTGGGATATACATGGGACACACTATTATCAAAAGTACTGACTACACTGAAATAGAAGAATGGCAATTACTGTTACATGCAAAAGGCAAGCTAATAAAAGGTAAAAGATAAAAAAGAGACTGGGACAAAATATTTGTGATATATATAACTAAGGGTTACCTTAAAAAATATATAAACTAACAAAAAGCAAATCAATAAAATTTGATAAAAAAGAGAATATATAAAGTGTTCCTGCAATCAGTAAGACTACTCACTAAGAAAAAATGACAAAGGACAGACAGAAACTGAGCCAAGAAATGTAAATGGCATATAAATATATGAAATAATGTTCATTCTTACAGTAATCAGGGAAATGCAAAACCAAATATAATTTTCAAAAATCAGATTTGCAGAAGTTAAAAAGTCTGACAGTATCAAACACTGGCCAGGAATTAGGAAATAGATGTTGCCAGTGGAAGTGGAAATATGCAAAGCCACTTGGAAAGGCAATTTTAGCAGTATCAAAACAGCAACTATGCTCTCCCTATAAGAGACCAAAGGTTTTCAACTCCGTACTCCTACCACTCTACTTTCTTTTTATAGCCCACTTTGTTTTTCATTTGTTATCATAGAAAACTTCAAACATACATAAAAGTAGGTGAATTACTTGTAAAAAAATTCTTTAAAAAAACAGTAGTTTTTTTTTAAACGAATTTGTTTAAAATAAATTTGAAAACACTTTAGTGCCTAATATGTGTGGGATTTTTTGTGCTGGTCCTAAAGACAGAAAAATCTTTGTTCCCAAAGGAATAATAATCTAGTTGGAAGAAACAAAGTATGAATGATGCACAACCAGAACTTAGCATATACTAAGTGATAATACACACATTCAGAAGAGTGGACAAATACTGAAGATGATATAAGTATGGAAGAAGTATTTATTATAGACATCATTTCATTTTCCCAATCAACATTCCAAGGTACACCAAGCAAGAAAAGCAACTTACCTGTCCATAACTGAATCTAGGACATCTTAGTTTTAAGTGCTGTCCACTGAGCAACAGCTAGACAATGACTTAAACAAAATCCAAACTCTTTCTCAGAGCCTACAAAGCCCCAGAACCTGGCTTACTGGCCCTACCTCACTGTGTCCCACTTTCTTGCCCACCATATTCCCTCCACACCAGCCTTTTGATTGCTCAAGACTGATTCTTGCCTACCTGAGGGCCTTGGCACTGCTTTCCTGCCTGTGTCCGGAGCACCTATCCACTCTGTTTTTCTCATGACTGAATCTATCTCATTTTTCACTACGCAGCTTCAGAGTTACCTTTGAAGAGACCTTCCAATCATTCCAGGACACCCTATGTTCCCACTTCTATCACTTTCTCTAGTGTGTGTGCGCATTATATTCTCACAATTTATAATTACTTAATTATTGTTTTACTCTTTTCTACCCAACCCACACCCCCAGATTTCTGGGACCAAGTAAAGCCTGCTTTACTTGCCAATAGCACATGGTCTGACACAGTGTTAAAAAACAAGTGATGGCAGGAAAGAAGGGTGGACAGATAAAGACATTAAGGAAGGGATAGTTACACAAATGAGATCAGAGTTTTATTCCAATTGGCTCAACCACAAGGGACTGAGCACCATGTCAAGCAATGGGTCAAGCAATGAAGGACAAGAAAGAGCTTCTACTCTCAATGAGGAAGTATAGTTTGCTTGAATTTGTGGTCTGGAATAACCATTTTGCTGAGGACAAGCATGGGACTGACTTGGCTATGTTAAGGAACCCAAGCAGCATCCTCATTCTGCCATGCTTCCTCAGGGTACAATCATCAGAAATTCAGCATCAAAT